CCCTCCTGGGCTCGGTTTTGAGGAGGTTTTACCTGCCTGCGTTTCGTGTTAGGGGTGTTTTACCTCCAGGCTTCAGGTGACAAGTTGCCACCTGTGTTTGTTTCTGAGGGGCTTTTACCCCCCCCCGGCTCTGTCTTGAATGAGTTTTGTCCCCCCAGGGTTTGGTTTTATAGGGGTTTCGCCCCCCTTAGCTGGGTTTTGAAGGGGTTTTGCCCCCCAGGTTCAGTTTTGGTGGCCTGAGGCACAGAGGGGTTGGTGCTGCAGCCCCACTGCAGTGGGTCATACTGTCACCCGGGCAGAGCCGGCGTCACCGCGAGCACACGGGGTGGAGATTCGAATTCTTTGGAGAGTTGCAACAAACCCAAAATCTCTCTCCTCCCTCTCAAGGTGAACTTCACAGTAGACCAGATACGGGCCATCATGGACAAAAAGGCCAACATCAGGAACATGTCCGTGATCGCCCACGTGGACCACGGCAAGTCCACGCTGACGGACTCCCTGGTGTGCAAGGCCGGGATCATCGCGTCGGCCCGCGCCGGGGAGACCCGCTTCACCGACACCCGCAAGGACGAGCAGGAGCGCTGCATCACCATCAAATCCACGTGAGTGCCCTCCCCTCACCCTCCTCGGGGTCCTCCCTGAGCCCGGCCCCCGGCGCTGGAGTCGCCCTCGAGGTGGGAGAAGGTGGAGGTGGGAGAAGGTGGCGTCGGGCTGCTCTGGGCCGGTTGAGAAGCTCAGGAGTGTCTTCAGTGGGATGACAAACGTTGATTGACTGGGCAATGGTTGAGGAATTCCTGAGAAATCACATGAAGCGGGAGCTTCACCCTCCCATTTTAGCCCCAGGATTGTTGGATGTCCCGTGGATGTGAAGTGGAGACTCTTGGTGGCTTTGTCGCCGTGACAAGTGTTGGTTGGTTGGCTCCTGGTCAGTCAGTGAGTTCCTTGGGAGATAAATGTGCAGCAGGAGCTTCACCCTTCCATTTTAGCACCGGGATTGTTGGATGTCCAGTGGATATGGAGGGGATAGTCTTGGGAGCATCTCTGGTGGCTTTGTCGCCATGACAAAGTGAGGTGACAAGTGTTGGTTGGCTCATGGTCAGTCATTGAGCAATTCTTGGGAAATAACGTGAAGCAGGAGCTTCACCCTCCCATTTTAGCTCCAGGATTGGTGGATGTCTTGTGGACGTGGAGTGCAGAGTCTTGGGAGCATCTCTGGTGGCTTTGTTGCCATGACAGGTGTTGGTTGGCTTCTGGTCAATCCTGTAACTGTTCCTGGGAGATAAATGTGCAGCAGGAGCTTCAGCCTTCCCTTTTAGCCCCAGGATTGTTGGGTGTCCCATGGATGTGGAGTGGAGAGTCTCGGGAGCATTTCTGGTGGCTTTGTCACCACAGAGGGTTTGAGGACCATGTAGGGCCTGAAAAGGGATGGAGAAGGTGGTTGGGACTGGTAGGAGAAGCCTAAATCCTTGGTTAAAGAAATGGAATCCTCTTTAGGTGCTTGAAAGTGCAGGGATTCATGGAGGAGGTTGGGATTTGTGGACAATATTATGACTTAGGAAAGGCAGATTTTTTTAGTCTGTGCTCCTGTTTTCTCCCACACCAACCTCCCAGGAACACACTTCAGGGAATCCTTAAGCCCAGACAGAATCATTTAGGTTGGAAAAGACCTCCAAGGTCATCCACTCCAACCCTTGACCACCTTGTCAACTAGACCAGAGCACTGAGTGCTACTTCCAGTCATGGCAGCTGTCGGTGTGGGAGAAAATGTTTCTCAGGATTAGG